TAAGTGGGCAGACACAGAGAAGCAATGAATATAGGCAATTATTAAGTAAAGATTCGTTTAGATTTTGATAAGTGCCATGAAGAAAATAAATGTTGTGGAGAGAGGGATAAAGAAGGAATTACTAGGGGAGGCTGTTAAGAATGTAGTCAGCAGGAGTGGTGTAGTCTCAGGAGGTGACATTTGAAGAGGTACTTGGAAAATGAGAAAGAGCCAGCCATGGGAAGAGAGTATCAGGAAGAACATTTCAGGAAAATGATGGACCAAGTGCCACGTCTGAGGTGGAAGAGTGCTTGGAGGGTTGAAGCAGAGAAGAGACCAGTGTGGTTGGTGTATAGTAAGGAAGGAGAAGGGTGGTGGTGAGAAGGAGCCAGGCAGGAACCACCACATGCAGGGTCTTCTAAGCCAATGGAAACTGTGTTTTTTCTTCTGAAAGGAGTAGGAGGCCACCTTAAACAGAGGAGTAAGGTATACCTTAGAGGAAATTGTCTGTATGCCTTTGCTTAAACATTGCATTGTTATGGTAATTTCAAGTAAGCATGTATTATTTTTACAGATTTTAATGTACAGTAATTTAGTATATAATTATGTTTGATTTTTGCCCCTCAGTGTTTTGCATAGGATGGTATTTCGTTGTATTATTTTTATTGAAATACTTTATTTACTTTTAAAATCAGTTGTGGGCGCCTGGGTGGCTCAGTTGGTTGGGCGACTGCCTTCGGCTCAGGTCATGATCCTGGAGTTCAGGGATCGAGTTCCGCGTCCGGCTCCCTGCTCGGCATGGAGTCTGCTTCTCCCTCTGACCCTCCCCCCTCTCATGCTCTATCTCATTCCCTCAAATAAATAAATAAAATCTTTAAAAAAAAAATTTTTAAATCAGTCATACACTTTTTATACCTATGACTAGTATTGTACAGATTACTTCATTTATTAAGGAAAGAAACCAGACTGCACAAATATCCACAAATGAAGAGATTGTGGTGGAATGAGGGGTTCAGTAGAACAAACTGAAAATTTATTTCAGTAGTTGTTTTAGTGGAAATGAGCAACAAAAAAAAGCTATCCTGTTAAAAAAATTTCCTTCTAGAATCCTGATACTCATAGTCATTAAACACTTATTTGTGTTTCTCAGCCAGATGTCACTGTCATCAGGCTGTATTAGATTACAGTACCTAATAAAGTTGATTTATGTATACTCTGATAAAATTTGAGCTTTTAGTTAATGCTTGAATGATTTTAGCAGTCTCTTACACTGCTCAGTACCCTTGAACTTGCTTCTTTTTTATATCCTGGCCTATACCTGAGATGATTATATTTCAGGTATACATTTTACCTATAAATTTGAGAATTCTTCATCTGATACTCTGATTAAAGAAATATATTATGTAAGTTTGACCTTTTGACTTGTCTCCTATCCTTATTGTCTTTTAGGAAGATTAGATGTAGTTTATATGCTAAGGCCTCAAATATTTGATTCAGCCTAAAGGTGGGTCAAATTTTCACCTAGAGGTGAAAATTTCAGAGGTGTGAAGAATCATTTTCATGATTTATCATAGAAATAATTTGCCATCATGGTTCCTTTTTCTTCTCCAGTTTACCCTCTTTATTCACTATTACCAGATCTTTTCACAGTTAGAAATTTATCTCTGATTGCCATGGATTTCACCTTAGAACTTTATAAAATAACTTGTGCTCATTCTGAAAGGGCAAGCTAGACATTTCAATTTTAGAATTTGATGGTATTGGAAGCCATCAATCATGTAGAAACTTTTTAAAAAGCTGTATTTAGTTCAGTTTGGGTCCACCAGTGACACATGTTAAAATTTGAATATTGGAGACCAGAAGTCAAAAGGGAAAGAATAAAGGATTACAACTCTATGCTAAAATGTTAAAATATGAGGATTTTTTTGTTTCATGCGGAGGACGCATGAAGTGTGACTTACTTATCTTTGTGATCATCAAGATGTTAATAAACAATGTTGCCAGAATTTCCTTTGGCTCTGAAGAGGTCAGAAAAAAAGAGAATTGATTTAGAATTAAAGCAGTTATATTTGGGGTTATGAGATATGATTTGGGTCTGTAGAATAAGGAAGCTTTTGTGGCTGGTATTTATGGACATTAAGTGGGGAACAAATCAGTAATTAGACGCTGTGGTCAGCCTTGTGTTAGGAATCTATGGTTAATGGAAAATCTCTCTCAATTGGAGTAGTACCCTCTTTACTACTATAAATCAATCTTATGAGGTGTGTGTGGAGGAGTAGGGTAATGTAGGTTTTTGCTCTGGCTGATACCTGTGGGGCCATTATGGTAATCTGTGAGAATAGGTGCTTTCCCCATTCAGAATCATGGGGGTGGAGGAGATGCACTCTGCAGGTTTCAGGTGAGTTCAGTTGAGCTCTTGCTATGGCTGTTTAATACTGTTGAAGTACTCTGCTGCTTCATAGCTTGAGTTAAAACATGTGGTCAACTTTCTAACTTCTGATTTTAGTACAGTAGCAGTGACGCTGAGAAAAACAATTCTCATTGCCTAATAATTGCTTCTAATATTCATCAGTTCAAAATCTTTTTTTACCTATCCAGAGGTAAGAATGACTAGAAGCTGTCTTACAAAGCTGCCTACCACAATGTGGTTTAGGCTTTTCTTGTTTATTTTAATTATGTATTTGTTTTTAGAATTTTTAAATCTTTGGATTCCATTTCTTTTTCTGAGCTGCTAGTATTGGAAATTCCATTATTATTTTCCACGCTCTCATGTGTAATAACCCTTATTGGTACTATCTTTAGCATCCTGAAGCAGTTCTTCAGTGCAGGGGTGGAAGGAGTTGGGGGAGGGTGCGTGATGTCTTCATCTCACTCTGACTCTATCCTCCTGACCAAGATTCCAACATTCCGCCTGTCTGTACTGTATATAACTGTTGCAGGCCACGCCATACTTTGCTTTTTCTTTTTTCTCTGGGAATCTTGTTTGTTTTCCTGTCTCTATTCATTCTTTAATTATTAATTTTTCTTTCCATGTATTTGAAAACAATACATTCTTCACCTTCTAACTCATTTACCTCCTTAGTGTCTGCCACAGCCCAAGGTTATATATGTATTTTTTTATGTACTACTTCTCTTTTCCAACTGTTGCTTATATGCTATGTCTAGGATATATATATTTAAAAACATTTATTGTGTTAAGCTCACATAAATCTTGATTTGTCAGCCAAATTGTAATCCTATGAAAGCAGGGATTCTCCCTCATTTTTCATGTATTTTCCATTTAACCCAATGCCAAGCACAAATCTCAATATTGCAGGTAATGTGGTGGAATATTTTCATTGCGTTAAGAGGTCTTAGAATTTAAATATGAGTATTTTTTCTGACTTCCCTTGAGATTAAATTTTGACAATGTAAGAGATATTCTTGAATAACTGAGGTCTGTGTTCACACTTTATTATTGGAAGGGAGGTTCCATTAAAGGATGCTCAATTACCTGCATGTTCTTTGAATAGGAGCATTTGTCCATAATACATGCCTCTATAGGATTTTAAATATTGTAATTACAGACTCTGCCAAGCTCTGAAAAATAACTTGTGTGTGAAGATGGACAGAAAATTGGGTTTTAAATTATTGAAAAATCACTAAAACCAGTACCCCACTGGGTGCTGTTAATATACAAAATATAAATAACAAGAAAACATTCTTATTTTTCAATTTGAATTATATTTTTCTGAGTTAAAAAACAGTTGGCTGCTGCATGCAGAACTTAGAGGGCAATGTTAGGTGTAAATGGTGAAGAACAATTTCTTACAGCTAGATCAGAGTTAAATCCCTTTTCCATAATGCATTAGCTGTTGCCTTTGGGCATGTTACTTAACCCTTCTGAGCCTTAGTTTCTTCACTTACGAAATGGAGACAGTAATAACCTCTATCAAAAGATTAGAGCAAGGGCTAGGAAAGATAGAAGAGCATCTAATGCACCAAGCACGTTACATGGCATCTAATACACACAAATTGTCATTTGCTACTTTTCCCCCCAATTTAGGTACTACTTCTCTCCTTCAGTTTAGGTACACATTATTTCATTCTTATTTAATTTTTTTTGCTTTCATGATGTATCATAGACACTTTGATATTTGTAAGAAAGTCACTCTTAATTATTTAACAATGATCCATTGGGAATCTAGAGTTTGAAAAAAGATGTCAATAATATAACAATATTTTTCAAAAAATTTGTTTTCTTTGTTTCACTTCAAAGTGGTAAATTTGAAAAAGTATTGAAAAAATATTTACTATTAACCTTAAAAAATTAAGACTTGTTGCTAGTTTGAGGTATTATATAATTTTCTGAAATCAGTCAAGAGATCTCTAGTTGAATGAGACAATAAAATTTGCCACCTTCACAAGGGCGGTAGTATTAGCAATAAAACCATTTAAACCAGGCTCTTTGGGGAATGGAGTTTTCCGGCTAAAAACCCCTTTTGTTTCAACCCTCTACATAAATGTTTACAATTATAATGGTTTACTTTTCTGCCTTAGAGAAATTTATGTATAGAATATAGTAGCCTCTTTGTTTATAGACTAAGGATCTTTCATTCTTCATTCTAAGTAACAGTTATTATAGTATGGCAGTGTGGTGGATAGCCTTATTATAAGTAGGAGATTAGGTTGAAAGTAATCCCAGGGTATACTATAAAAAGTTACCAACCCTCCTGCACTTCCTCCCTCCGCAATTCCCAAGTATCAGTTTTGTTTAGTTTCACATCTCACTTCTGAATGTTTTCTAACAAATTGTGATTCTGGTTTCTTAAAACTTCAAATTTATTAAGGGAGACTTGAGAGATTATTTCATCTAGCACCCTCATTTCATAGATTAAAATACTGAGGTGTAGGTTAATTGACTTGCTCAAGGATACTAAGCAGAGGCACTAAAAGAAATAAAGATTTAGTTTTCCTCATTAAACTGACACTTTAATAGTGTCCCAAATTTTGGTGGTTATCTTTGATCTTCTTTGAAACAGGTAGATCGACACTTGAGAAAGCTGGATCAGGAACTGGCTAAGTTTAAAATGGAGCTGGAAGCTGATAATGCTGGAATTACAGAAATATTAGAGAGGCGTAAGTAAAATTTACAGTTTTCCATCAATGTTGGACAGTCCATGTGCAAATCACTGAGGAGACACTTGTCCCACGGAGACTTCTCAGATCCTGCGCTTCTGTGGATGGTGGCAACTGGATCGGACAGTGTGGACTCTAGCAGCTAGAACTGTTTGGGTTATGGATACGGAGAGAGATGATACAAGATATCGTACACTCACTTTATTAAAATCACATATTAAGTCATTCCATTTTTTAATATGTGTATATGTTAGTAAGGTGAGTGGTAAGAACAAAGACTGAAAGAAATATAACCATCTAGAAACAAGTTAACCCATATGTCATTAAATGTATTGACTTTGCACTGCCTGCTGGATACACTTAAACTCTGAGCAAGGCTGTTATTTTTTCTTCCTAAGAACTGCCTTAAGGCTTTTCCTCAACTGTGTTAGTAAGAAAGATTTTAGTTGATTCCAAAGCATTTCCTCTTTTTCTCAAAGAAGTAAACTTTTTCTTATCAGTAAGAAGCCATTTTAATATTTCTTTGTAAGGTTCTACTTGATCTGCTATAATTTACCTTTATTCTTTTTTTTTCTTGATGCATTTCTTCAGCAAGAACATGTACTTGTTTCTACATACTGATGAAAAATTTCTTTATGGTGTTAGATTATGTGTATATTTACACACTCCCTAGAATAGGGGAACAACCTAGTCATGAATCCATCTTGGTATCCACAGTTGCATTTTTGTATTCAAAAGTAGATCTGTCACTTCAGATGATCATCTAATTTGTTTGTGATACTTTTATTCCAAGGAAACCCTATCTGAGAATAGTAAGTATTTTGAAACAAAATAAAATGTTCTATAGCTGCTCTAATTTTTTTTGAAATGCTAATAATAACTGTGAATAACATAATTCATGCCTATTCAGTACTGCAGGAAGGTTAATGAAGCATCCTCTGTAAGGACACAGACACACAAAACTAAATGAAATCAAGTTATAAAATCTGCTCCACCCTGTGCCCTGCCATAATTTCATCTCAAGGGATCAAGATAAACCCAGAAAATTTCTTTAAAAGTATTTTAATGCTTGGCGGTAGAGATTCTGTGCCTAACTTCTTTTAGGAAGTCTTTACTATCATATATTATTTTAACGATCAAAGAATTTTCTTTCATAAAGTAATGTCCCATCACCTGATACTTTAGGATCTCACACAGAAAGGTCTTCAACCCAGTATAACTAGTTTGAGTTTTTCAGATCTTATTGGTAATGGAGTTATAACATCCATTCATCCACTTATGTGGTACCCTCTGTCCGGAATTCCCCAGTTAGACATTAACATGCCTTGAGCTGTTTTGTACTTAAGGTGAATAGTAAGAAGTGGATTACATATTGTTTAGAGAGAGGATGAAATTGGCTCAGGGTGAAATTGGCAGTGGTGATTCTCTAATGTGTTTGACTAAAATGATACAGGCGTATGCATCAGGGCTTGCCAGTCCTCTGCTAGGTGAGGGTACAGAGTGCCTGTACTTGATTGACCTGTAGAGTTCTGCGTTGACATTGAATGGAGATGTATCTCTGTGCATTTCTTTTTTAGGATCTTTGGAATTAGATACTCCTTCACAGCCAGTGAACAATCATCATGCTCATTCACATACTCCAGTGGAAAGTAAGTTTGGTTTAGGGCTGCTAAAATTTTCAGTACAATTAAAAATTCATTATATTACCCGTATATTCTTTTTAATTAGCTCCATACAACCAATTGAGGAAAAAAAATATCCTTCCCTTCCTTTTATTTTGTGAGATCTACTTTTTCCTTACAGTTCCTGGTAGATTTACCTTCATCATTTGGGAAAAGTATATTTGATTTGGGAGTAGAGCGTTTGCTTTTCCTGGAATACATTGAGGACAAATGTATGGTATTAATAGCATCATATACTTCCTACATACAGACACCTGATTCTCTCTAGAGAGTGTTGTAACTCAAGCCAAATGATAAACTACATGATGGTGGGCTCTTTGCTTTTTTATCATCCTTGCTTCTCCTGTGCTTAGCCTACTGTTTGGCATGTAAGAAGGCCTCAGATGGTTGGTAGGTTAGTGAGTAAATGAATGCTTGGTTGGTTGTTAGCCAGCTAGAAGACTGTATCAGTGTAATTTGTGACAGATCAATTTGATATGAAAGAAGGGTTGATTGAAAACTATTCAAAATTGTAGATAATGTTTTGAAAACAAAATTCTTCTCATGTTATATGTGAAATCATGGTGCATCGTGGGTTATCTGTAGTACTTTGCTACTGAAGTTTTTTTTCGAAATGTGTGGGAAGGCTACTCTTAACGAAACAGGTGACACAGAGAGTTCTGCTTGTCCTGTCCTCCAGGAAAACATATTGTTCTATATTCCATGAAGAACTCAGAACATACCTATACTTGTTTATAACTGAATGGAAGTATTATGTCTTGTCCATAGCCCTCTAAAGTTTAAAAACACAAAAATTCTTATTTATATTCAGAAAGGAAATATAATCCGACTTCTCACCATACAACAACAGACCATATTCCTGAAAAGAAGTTTAAATCTGAAGCTCTTCTATCTACACTTACATCAGATGCCTCTAAGGAAAATACACTAGGTAAGTTTATTATCTTAAATAGGAATGTTTGCTTTTTGTTTGTGTTGAAGTAAGGGCAAATGAAAGCGTTCAGGATTAACGGATCATACAGATTTTTTACTTGGTTAAAGTCCACATATGGAGAAAGAAGAAAAGGAAAAATGGGACATGAAAATTTCATAGTGACATGAAAATGTTAAATTTAATGATTATATCTGTACTGGGAAATAATGTATTTTAAGCTCACTAACATTATGTTCTCTCCAACCATTTTTATGTCTTCTTTAATTCTACATAGGATGTCGAAATAATAATTCTACAGCCTCTTCCAACAATGCTTACAATGTGAATTCCTCCCAACCTCTGGCATCCTACAATATTGGCTCGTTATCTTCAGGAACTGGTGCAGGGGCGATTACCATGGCCGCCGCTCAAGCAGTTCAAGCCACAGCTCAGGTAGGAAGGAAAAGGCTTGGAAATAGCAGGTACATTTTGTCTGAATCATGGGCAAACTCCCAATAGAAACAGAAGGAGTTCTTTTACACTGTATAGTTTCATTTTTAAGGCGTGGTTTTATGATATCTGACATTTTCTTTGATGGAACTTACGTGCATTAGTTTGCCTGATTGATCATGAAAAGTAACAAATAGATTCGTGCAAGCTCATGCAGATCCCTTCACATAGTGACAGCTCGTGATGTGCACGGTGTTGACAGCCACAGCACCTGCAAGGACAGTACTTTGTCCTCCCTCCCGGCGCCTCACAACTCACTCCGCCCTACGTTTGTTCACTGCTGTACAGTTTATATTCCAAATTAAGTTACCAATTCTGTAGCTCCTCCCTAACTGTGTAAAAACTGATTTCAAATCTTTATGTAAAACAACTTAAATTACAGTGATGAAAATAATGGTTTAAACAGAATAATATTGGGTAAACCAACATAACTCTGTAACTAGTAGGACTGAAAAAGAAAAGCTGCATATATATGCCTGTTAATATTATCAATGAATGTCTGTTTAAGATGAAAGAGGGACGAAGAACATCAAGTCTAAAAGCCAGTTATGAAGCATTTAAGAATAATGACTTTCAGCTGGGAAAAGAATTTTCAATGCCCAGAGAAGCGGCTGGCTATTCATCATCTTCAGCACTCATGACTACATTAACACAGAACGCCAGTTCATCAGCAGCCGACTCACGCAGTGGGAGAAAGAGCAAGTAAGTTGCATTGGTACAGTAGCCCTGTACTTTTACTAAGTGTGCTGTGTATCAGTCTACTTGGCATCCAGCCGGGCTTGGATATATGAAACAGGTAGGTATAATGAATCAGGATAAACTTTGGGGAGGCAGGAAGGCATGACATTTTCATTCACACCGCCATACTTTGGAGGAGTAACATCTTTAAAACGTGTTAAAAGTCTTTAATCTTTCTAGAGTCTTAAATTGGGTATAAATGACTTCTGTTTACTTTCTTTTGTTCATTAGGATAAGCCATTTTATGGAGCTTTTTTCCTTTATAATCTCTTACTTGTCATGTGGTTCAATGTAAATTAATGTATAAAATACAAATTTTATCCTGGGAATTTTTTTTTAAATTCTTCATTTTTATTAAAAGTAAATTGTCTTAATTCTTGGTCTTATGCCCCAAAAATTGAAATAATGAAACTACCCCTAGATTTTGTGTATGAGACTCCTAGCATGATTGTCTGCATTATCTTAAATATGAAAATTTAACAGAATCTAGTACCATCTATTCCAGGTATCTGCATTTCCTAGATATTTTCAGACATAATAAAAGTTCAAATGGTAGACCAGAATAGATTACCTAATAATTGCATCATAATTTATTTTTAAATGTATTGTATTTCCTGTGAGTAAATCTCTTAAGGAATGATCAATCTAGAATTACCACAAAAGTGCTAGATATCTTAAAAAGTAATTCCTCTTAATAACCCAAATTCATTATAACTGCTGATAATAAATTTCCCTATTTTTAAAATATAATTAGCATATAAATATTAGTAAATTACTTGTGAATTTTAACACTGTTTCCTATTTTACACAGGTAAGTATTCACATGTTGATTGATGGTCATGATCATTTTCATCAACTTCTTTTGTGTATTTGTATTTTAGATTTTGATGAAGAGTATTCAGTTTGCTTAAAAATACAAAGAATGTCTGGCAGATAGCCATAACCAGTACTAACTCTTAAAACTATTACCTGTAATTTAAGTCAATGTTAAGTAGTAATAGTTTAAAAAATTATCATTAAAACATAGTTTGAAAGAATCTTTTTGAATATCTTTATTCTCCAGAAAACAAACAGAAATCTCAAACAAAAATAAACTGTTATGAAAAAAGTTGCTCTTTGTTGCTCTTAACAGTTGTGCCTTTAAATCTGTGTATCAGGTTATTTTAACTTCATGTTAAACGTTAATTTACACGTTTAATGTCATTTCATTTCATACCACTGATTTAGTAGTTACTCTCCCGTAACTTCTTCTGGATGCCGAGCAAATAAAACTGATGCTGTTTTTTCAGAAACAACAACAAATCTTCAAGTCAGCAGTCGTCATCTTCCTCCTCCTCCTCTTCCTTGTCATCATGTTCTTCTTCATCAGCCGTCGTACAAGAAATCTCTCAACAAACAACAGTAGTACCAGAGTCTGATTCAAACAGTCAGGTCGATTGGACTTATGACCCAAATGAACCACGATACTGCATTTGCAATCAGGTAAAAGTCTGATGTGTCTATACCAGCCTAGCCTGAATAAAATAGAAAACAGCTATTTCATTTTTTAACATGCTTTTTTTTCTCCACTTAAAATTCTTTTGCTTTCTTCTATAATTTTCTTCTGCTTCTTATAAAATCACGTCTGCTGAAAATACAGAGTCTAGTCACCCATAATCTCAGCCCTCGGAAATAACCTATAATTAGACATTTTGATTTATCACTACTGTATACCCCGCATGCATGTTGTCTTAGTCTGCTCAGGCTGCCATGACAAAATACCACAGTCTGGGTGGTTTAAACAGCAGAACTCTATTTTCTCACAGTTCTGGAGGCCAGGCAGTCCAATATGAAAGTGCTGACTGATCCATTCCTGGTGAGGACTCTTTTCCTCGCTGGCAGACGGCTCCCTTCATGCTGTGTCCTCACATGGTGAAGAGAGCTCTGGTGTCTCTTCTTAAAAAGGCACCGACCCTATTGAAAGAAGATTCCACCTCTATGGCCTCATTTAGCCTTTATCATCTCACAGACCCTATCTCCAGATACAGTCACAGTGGGGGGTAGGGCCACAACACAGAAGTTTGGGGGAGAGGTGCAGACATTCAGTCTCTTACACCTATGTACACACAGATGCACACGTGTGTTTGTGTGTGTATGTATGTGTGTGAATTTGACGAGTTGGATCACAGTATATTCTTTATGTAACACTTTTGCACAAAGGTGTACTGAACATCATTTTTCTTAATTTTTTTTAATCTTCTCACAGTTACTTGTTATACTGTGTATAACTTTTTAAACCAATATTTAGCTATAGGTTTTTTTAGTGGTTTTAATTTTTTTGAGATTACAAAATAACATGGTAGGCATTTTTTATGTAACCCATTTTAGACATCTAATTTCTAAGATAATCTTTTAGAAATAAAATTAAGTTAAAATATTTGTTGCAGACTACCAAATTACCTTCTGAAGTTCATTAGCAAAATCTGATGAGCATGCCTGTTTCCTAAACCCTGTCCAGCGCTGGATACTATTTTATCTTGAAAACTCTATACCAATCTGATAGTTTTATATCACACAATCATTTCAGTTTATGTTAGTAGTAAAATTGGACACTTTTTTGGCTATTTTTATTTTTTCTTTTATGAATTAACTCATTGGTGTTGGCCAATTTTTCTGTCATTTTTGTCATGTACATTATAAATACTTTGCTTGGTTTAGGTTTTTTTGTTTTGTTTTTAATTCTGAAATTCCAGTTTTATGGAGTAATGACTGTCAGCCTTTTTCTTTATGAAGTCAGCTGTGGGGTATATGCTTACCTCCTTGTCTTTTCCCCATATAAATGCGTCTTGCATTTTTTCCCATTTGCAAATGGCTTTGTCTAGCTCTTGATATACTTCAGTTTCCTCACGTTTAAATCTTTAATCCATCTGCAAAAAAAACTTAATCCATCTGCAGTTTATTGTGTTTAATGGTGTAAGTTGGCAGTCTAATTTTTGAGAATTTGCCATTTTTTTAAATTTTATTTTATTACATTATGTAAATCACCATACAATACTTTATTAGTTTTTGATGTAGTGATCCACGATTCATTGTTTTCGTGTAACACCCAGTGCTCCATGCAGTACCTGCCCTCCTTAATACCCATCACTGGGCTAACCCATCCCCCCACCCCCCTCCCCTCTAAAACCCTCAGTTTGTTTCTCAGGGTCCATAGTCTCTCATGGTTCATCTCTCCCTCTGATTTCCCCCCCTTCATTTTTCCCTTCCTTCTCCTAATGTCCTCCATGCTATTCCTTATGTTCCACAAATAAGTGAAACCATATGATAATTGACTTTCTCTGCTTGATTTATTTCACTTAGCATAATCTCCTCCAGTCCCATCCATGTTGCTGTAAAAGTTGGGTATTCATCCTTTCTGATGGCTGAGTAATATTCCATTGTATATATGGACCACATCTTTATCCATTCATCTGTTGAAGGGCATCTCGGCTCTTTCCATAGTTTGGCTATTGCAGACATTGCTGCTAAGAATTTGCCATTTAGAAGTTTGTTAGGTTTTCTCCTGTCACCTGACAAACATTTTATTTTTTTAAAGATTTTATTCATCCATTTGACAGAGAGAGAGAGACACAGAAAGAGGGAACACAAGCAGGGGGAGTGGGAGAGGGAGAGGCAGGCTTCCGGCTGAGCAGAGAGCCGGACGTGGGGCTCGATCCTAGGACCCTGGGATCATGACCTGAGCTGAAGGCAGATGCTTAATGACTGAGCCACCCAGGCACCCCTGACAAACATTTTTTAATATTAGTTATTAAGAAAGTTCTGTGAAGATCCTGGCAGTAAAAATAGATTACCTACAAAAGAACAAAATCAGATTCACCCTAGATTTCCCATCTATAACACCAAAAACTAGTTGATGAAATACATCTGTAGAGCTGTGAGGGAAAAATATGAGTGCTCCCCGCAAAATTTTTAACCAGAGAAGTTGTTTCTGTGTATAGAACCATATACAGATATGCTCACTCATGCAGAGAATCAGGTAGTATACTATGTAGTTATAATCCTGACTGAAACATTTCTCAGTCCATTGAGAACTTAAATTAATTCAAGGATTATGAAGTTGTATTATAAAGTGCTGGTGATGAACAGCAAAAAGAAAAATGAGAAAAGGCAGATAGTAAATTGATGATAAGTTTAGAAGTTTCAACTGTTGACTGCAAAAATATAAATGACCCAACATGACCCAAGAAAAAGTAAAAACCTTAAGTAACCAAAAAAGAAACTTAAAGTCTTTACAAAAGAAACCACCCACAAAGGTAATTTGTCAAGGTTCTTTCGGATTTTCAAAGGGCACATAATTTCTGTGTATTTCCCTCGGTGCCCCTGCCCAAAAATATCTTTTAGTAAAAAGCTATAAATCTTTATAAACTCTTTATTAAAAAACTATATACCTTATTTCTTAATGCAATTGTATATTCACCTCTGTTTTCTAACAGTATCATCAACAATTTGGATTTAGGTGCTTATCGTATAGTCATAATAAAAAATATTTACTTGTATTTTAACTAGGTATCCTATGGCGAGATGGTGGGCTGTGATAACCAAGATGTAAGTATTAAATTTTTCTATTGAGGAATGAAAAAAATCACGGATTATTATTACTTGAACATTTTTCTTATTTACGGTGTCTCTCAGTCTAAGAAAACAGGTCTGCAGTTACATTAACTATATTATATTAATGCTAGAATATTTCTCTCCAAAACAGGGTAGTGTCACTTCGTGTGTTCCCAGTTTAACTCTCTTAAAGCTAGTTTTATGGTTTCATGTGCACATTATAAATCTCAAAAGGTTTTATGTTGTATGAAAATTAGAAACATCCTCCACCTCCTTTGCTAAATAATACTGTGTTTACTAGAATCCAGTTCACTTGTCACGGTGTAAAACCAGCATTTTAAGACAGTACATTCTGTCAGGAAACCTGCCACTAGTGGGGGTGGGGAGGTGGTATAATATGAGGTTATTTTCCTCCTATCAGTGTAGTGTCTCCTATTGTACCCTGCAGCTGTCAGCTGATAAGAGCCCCTTCTGATATAAAAAATAAAGGAGGTTTGAAAGAAAACTTTTTTTTTTTTTTTGAGGAAGCTTAATTTTGGTTAGAGATATATTTTTATTGGATGCTGAGAATCTTTTTTCTAGTAATTTTACTCCCTCCTCACTTTCACAAACTTCCAGCCCCCTTTGTTCATCTTTCCTGCAGAGGAATTCTAAAGAAGAATCCATAATGTCAGAATCCTAAGGTTAAAAATAGCAGTTTAAAATTTTTTAAACCAATCTGAAGATTGAGCAGGGTTGGCTTGGTACATTAAAGTTTGTGCTCTCCTGACCGGACAGGGTCCCAACAATGTGTTCATGTAGATAGAGAAAGGCTGTCCTTCCACTTCCCCCTTTAGAATCACTTGTGGGCTGATTATTATATAACAATATTGCCCAATCATTCCAAGAACACTATTGTAACCTCCCGGGGCAGTTAGTGAAAATGATGCATTTCTGTGAATACCCCATCATACTCTCTGATCCCTCTCATTCCCAGTTACGCTCTTCTGAGTGCTAAGATTTTCCGTGGAAGTGTAGAACTGCTTAATATGTTATAGAGTAGAATCCCTTTTCTCTGCATATCTAGGAATAGATCTACCCAGAGAGGAAATCCAGGGCATCCCTTTATGTTTTTCACTGCAACCAGCTTATTCTACTTTATGAGGAAGTGAATAAGGCTGAATATTAAATAAAATCTGTAAAATGTATTTACCTTCTTTGTGAGAGACCCATCTCATTTCTTGTCCTTGAAAGTTGGTATCAGCTTACTCCCTGGCTTAACGAGAATAAGTGAACTTTTGTTCATTGCTTGGGATCATGGAAATAGATGACATGAACCTCTGAGTTAACAGAGATGCATACCTTTTCTGTGCTTCCATTTCCTTATCTTTGAAACCTATCAGTTGGATTCAATGATCTGTAAATCAGCTCCTAGATCTAAAAGTTCTGTTTCCATGAATCTTATTATTAATATTGAGTCTAGTGGGCATATTATACTCTGTAGTCTTTGGAGGTATTAAAAACTATTTCTCTGCCATTTTGCTTTCCAGTGCCCAATCGAATGGTTCCATTATGGATGTGTTGGGTTGACAGAAGCACCAAAAGGAAAATGGTACTGTCCACAGTGCACTGCTGCAATGAAGAGAAGAGGCAGTCGGCACAAATAAAGGTGGTCGTTTCATTTGAGGAAGAAAATACTTCAACTAAACATTTTATATAGGACTTGAAAAAAGAAGAAAAGAGAAAGAAGACACAATGCATTTCCAGGCAACCACTTCAAGGATTTACACAGACAATCCTGTAAGATCTTGAACTTGAATTTTATGGGTTGTATTTTAATAATGTAAGTAAATTATTTATGCACTCCTGGTGTGCTATGAATATTATTCCAGTTAGCCTTGGATTATTTCAGTGGCCAACATATGCAGACATTTGTACTCAACCATTTTCTCAAAGTAATGGGCATTCTATAATTTAGACTTCAGAGAATTCCAACGATGAAGATTTTAAGAAAAGTATTTTATATTCAACAGGTATGTTCTGCTGCATGTACTGTACTCCAGAGCTGTTATGTAACACTGTATATAAATGGTTGCAAAACAAAAAAAAAGTCAGTGCTTCTAAAAAGAATTTAAGATAATGGTTTTTCAAATGCCTTTATAATAAGCTTTGTTTCTTTGTGAAACTAAATTCAGCAGGCTGAAGGAAATGGTTCATGTGATAAAGTGGGCTGGTGTCCTCTAGAGTACCTGGGTACATAAACAGAAACTCCTGTAGGTAAAAATGAATCTGTGCCATTAGTCTTTATATGTTTCTGCATCCAGATAGAGTGCAGTTCATGGGGGGGAGGGGGGGACATGGGAGGGGCTGAAAGGGAAAGGGTGTTAAAGTGATACATTTTTATACCAAATGTGTTTATTTTTTTGTGCAAGTAATCCTTAAAATTGGAATTGTATTAGGTGTTAAAATAAAGTTTTTAAAAAATTACTTGTATTTATACTTTACACACTATTAATAAGGAAAATTTCTTAATTCCAATTAACTTCCAGTTTTCATAATCTAAAAAGGACAGAGTCCCAGGACACACAATGCTGTGTAATCTGTGATTTCTTTAACAGTGCTTGGCATTTGTGACGTGAAAATAAGGGAAAGACATTTTTAATGTAAATTTGAAATGCAAATGTATTTTTCTAGAACATTTCTCTGGCTTTTCCTTCAGTCTAAGAGACATGAAAGAAGTCTAATTATGGTAGATAAAATGAAAATAATGGTAATAGATGTTTTGACTTGAGGCAGTGTGGCCAATTTAAGTAAAGAGACCTCCTGGATTGGAGCTTAAAATTCAGTTCTATTTTGGATACTACCACATACTGGTATGATAGTTAATTCAAATTTTGAATCACTCTGGGCCTTATTAAACCAGGGTGATGCTGGCTGCAGGATGTCTGTAATCACTCTTAAGGTTTTATTCTATAGGTGCTATTTAAATTATAAATTTTGCGTAGTGGAGGTTTTATTTCAGGTATACTATCAAGTCAGGTTGGTAGAAAAATCCTTAAAACTTTAGAAATACTACATCATTTCTTTTATGTTGAAATTTACTGGGTCCATTAGATTTCTGCTTTAATCAAAACCACTTGTGAGCCTCTTAGAACTTATTCAGAAGACTATAAAATCTATGCAATGCTACCCAAAAGGTATGGATTAGATAGGGGATTTCTTTTAGCTTCACGAATCCTCAGTTCTGAGCTGTTGCAGACTGATTTTATAGCTGGACAGCCCATAAAACAAAGTTGGTTTGTTTGTGGGTATTCACGATTTCACAATATCATGAGTATCATGATTCCGTAACACTCAGTATTTTCATGGAGATTTTATAAACCTTTAAGAAATAATATATAACGTAGCATTCACTTAGCTTTAATGCACGTTGCCTAGAGATGCTCTGTGGTATTGTTTAATCTTCTAATTATATATAGTGACTTTTCCAAATTCATTCATTTTCTAGGAATTGGTCAAAGGAAAAAGCCTTATGTACAGCCTTATTTTAAGAGAAAGTTCCTTGTCTGAGTCAGGAACATCCCTATTTCCAGCTGCTACAGCCCCTTCCCGTGTGAATTCCACTGCTTACCAAATCACTTAGAAAACATTGGACCAAATTTAACCTCAAACATCGACTATTTTATGAAGCCTCTGTAAAGAAGCAAACCAAAATTTTGTTCACTTATTTAGTAATTGGTGGAGCTTGTTAGTATCTGAGATATTATATATATATATATATGTATATACACACACACACATATATGTATATATATATATGGGCCAAACATGGAACTACCTCCTCAAAAAAAAAAAAAAATGTGGCCAACTATTAATATTCTTTGAGACATTTACACCAAGGGGTGGGATAAGCATTTTTGCTATTACAAAATACCAATAAATCTTTGTTCTGTAAAACTCATGTGACAATTGGTGACACAAAAAAAGTCCAAATGTGGGTTCACAATTTATAGGTGGTGAAAATTGAGGCCTTACTGCTGTGGAGTGTACGTTAAAATGTTCATGGTGACACATTTGAAGCAATAAATGGCTTAATTAAATGCCTAAATGAAGCTGAGTGTTTGATAAACATACAGTCATTCTTTTTAAGGGCAGTTCATTTTTTTGCTCTTTTCTCCTTTAAAGCAGATTCCACATACTTCAAATTTTTAACCGTATTTGGTTTGTGCAGTCTTAGTGCCCTTTGTCCTTTGATCTCAGAAATGGGCTTGTTGATCTAATTAATTATATTAATCTTGGAAAAAACAAATGTCTGATACACTTGGGTTGTGAGAGGTGAAATATCTGTGTAGACATTGCAGTGTTTTCCTTCAACTCATATTTTTAAAAGAAATCTTTAACGGATGGGTTTTAAGAGAAAACGAATACCGTCAGAAGCATTTATTTTTATAATTTTACAAACACTGAACACCTAGATGTTGAACCTGCAGAGGAAGGTATTTGGGTGTGGGTGTGGGAAGGACAAACGTGTTAAGTAATTGCAGCACTTGGAAGGGTGCTGTGATAGGCAGATGCACAAAGCACTGTGAGGACACTGGGAGACTTCACAGAGGAGGTTTCCTTTGAACAGATTCCTTAAAGACACACGAAGTAGGGAAGGTTTTTCAAGGCTAGGGAAGGTTTTTCAAGGCAAGAGACTGTTCAAGGGCCATGTACACTCTGGTAACTTACAAGTACTCTGGCATGAGTGGACGTCCAGTAGGGAGATGGAAGTTCAGAGAATAAAGCCAGAAAACTGAGCAAGAGTCTAAACACGAGCATTTTACACTGTGTCATAGAATTACTTGTTAAGGAGAGTGGTGGTGGCCTTTAACATATTGTTGGCTAAATACATTCTGATTATTTTTACAGTTTAATGAAACTATAGCACTTTTCTTATTTTAATGTAGGGATGACAAAACTAGTCTATAACTTGGAAATTGCTAAAAAAAATAATTCTAAATTTAAGGTGAATCTTCTAGTCTTCAACACTACAAATTAGAATTGCTAGTGAAGATTTTTTTGTTTTCCTTATTTAGATGATAAAATCTACATTACCCAGACTGTAATTTCTAACCCAGGATCTTAATATTCATGATTTGATTCTGCTACAGAAAAATAAAGTTTAAAGTGATATAAACATGAACTGACTTCAGAATTGTTTTGTTTTTTGATTGAAATTTGACATAAAGAAGAGGAATACTCCTTTCTGGCCATTTCCATTTTAAAGTAGTAAGTATGTATACTTTATAAGTCAGTGTTTAACTAATAAATTATTAGGCATTATTAAAATGTTTATTTGAAAAAAATTTAACAATTTCTTAATAAATTCTTCAGGACCATATAATCCAGTTTTTGGTTAACCCAGAGCCACCTTTTACTTTCTTTGCTCCTGGCAGAAGAGACCATAAAAGAATATTACAATCATTCATTTCTCCCCCGCTAATTATTAAAAACTCAGAAACCAATGTGGGAAATGAGGGTAGGGAATGTATAGGCTTCTGTATATGTTGCTTATTGCCATCCCCCATTCCCGCTTACCTATGTTAATGAATAAGAATAGTTTTTCTTAGGAAAGTGTATAACTGCTAGTCTTTAATGGTGAGCTAGTTTAAAACATTCACAAGTTTAACATCAGTCGTAAGGAAAAAAACGGTGGTCATATTTGAATTTTTTTTGCATTGTAGAATCTAATCCAGTAGAGGGACCCTCTATGCTAATACATTAAAATAAGAACGATTGTACAGGTACTAAGTTACTTTAAAAAGCTGCCTAGGTTAAATGTAATACAGGAGGCCAGCCAGAAATATTTCTGAATAACCCTGAATATAAAAATGGGTTAGTTGTTTAGAATTTTGCTAATATTTTACTAATTTTGCTAATATCATAATATCTAGCTAGCAGAAAGTTTTGGTATAACCTCTCCCCAGTATTCCTCATTAGAACTTTTAAAAATTTATGTTCATATCCTTGAAGCACTTACATATTTATCTTTAATATGACCAAATGACTGTTTTCTTGAATGGGTTTCGCAAATGTGCCAAAAGATGTTTTTACCTTACCCGTCTTACCATTTATAAATATTTGAAGAAGAGTCCAGTTATCTGTTGAAAACAAACAAAAAAAAATAAGCTTATACATTAGAGATCATATGGTTTAGATACAGGAGTAATCTTTTGAATTTAAGTGGTATATATGTAACCAAAGAGCCATACTGTATCAATGAATGTGTCTTTACCCCAGATTAGCTCGATGATTACCAGCCTTCCTTGGAGTGATAAAGTAAAACCTACCTCCCTTCCATCCCCCATTAAACAACATCAGTCTTTTAGGTAGTAAATTTGATGCTGTAAAAATTTCAAAATACCTTTCACTTTCTGAAAATAAGAATGGATGATTGAATTGTAATTACATTTAAAAAAAGAAACCAAATTATGTGACTATCTTGCAACAATTTTTTGAATGTATTATGGTTTCCATGGAATATTATATTGCAGGTTTACAGAGAAGATATGAGATTTCTAATTTAAAGAACATAATTTGAGACTATGTTATAACAAATGAAAGCTAAATATGTTCATATTTTATAGAAGGATAGATAAAAACAGGAATTCTGGCTCCATGCCAAGGTATAAATTTGTGCCCTAAAAAAAGTAAAACAAATAGTGTAATTCATTGGATTAAATGTTTGCCAGCCACCTTGTGCTCACTGATTGAAGTGATTCTTTCTTTTCTTTCTTTCTTTTTCTTTCTTTCTTTCTTTTTCTTTCTTTCTTTCTTTCTTTTTCTTTTTTCTTTCTATCTTTTCTTTTTCTTTCTTTTCTCTTTCCCTTCCTCCCTCCCCGTCTCTCCCTCCCTCTTTCTTTTTCTTTTTTCTTTTCTTTCTTTCTTTCTTCTTTCTCTCTCTCTTTCTTCCTTCCTTCCTTCTTTTAGAATGTGCACATTAATATGGATATATATATGTGTGTGTGTATAAATATATCTCCATATATATTTTAGAGGACGCAAATCTTAAAAGCAAATCTGGGAGGCTCAAAGGGAATTATATGGGCAAAGTTGCATTTATTTGAAGGAGTGGTATAATTACACATTCAGGAAGTGGTTAAAATCCCAGTGTCATTACCACAAGCTGCACAGGTACACACTATTCTAACTTAAGTAACAGACAATCAGGCAGCCACATATAAAAATTATGCAGTAACTATTCTTTGATTAAATTTCAGTTTTCCAACCTCAGTGCTTTGACATTTCGTACCGGATGATGCTTGGTTGTGGAGGGCTGCCCTGTGCCTCGTGGGATGTTTAGCAGCATCACTGGCATCTACATACGAGATATCAGGAGCATCCCCCTGGGCCTGCAAGTTGTGACAACTAAAAATGTCTTTAGACTTTGCCACATGTCTCCTGGGGGACAAAATTGCCCCTGCTGTGTTTCATGTTACCAAAATGTGAAATATTTCCTGTGGGAAAAATGGAAATAGTATGGAAAATATTTAAATCTATTATGTATAAACCTCCACAAATAGGAATTTTTAAATCACTTGCCAGGAGACACTACTAGATGCTGTAAGGATATGGTGATGAGTAAAATAGTTTCTGTTACAAAGCAGTTTATCCTATAAAAAGACACAAGTACACTAGTCACTAGACTACAGTAAAGAATATGATAAAAGTCATCTTCGTTCTAGTGCAAGCAAATTCAAAGTGCTTATACAGAAAGAAAATTGTGAAAAATAAGTAAAGCAACCAGTTGAGAATTATGGAGAGCTAGAGACATATGTCCCATTTTAAAAAGGCAGCACCAAGTGTTGTCCTATGGAATCTCCAGGTGATCTGCATGCTCAGAAATGCTGGTCTAGTGGACAATTTAAAATGAAAAGCATCTAGTTTACAGGATTTGGTCTATCTGGACCGTTGATTCATCTAGAAACTTGAGTCTAGTTTGAAAAATAAAATACATTTTAAAAATACCTGCTTCAACAATCACTAAATTCACCCTCTCCTTTCACCCCGTACTCCATACCAAAAACCCAAAATGGAACATACATGTGATGGAAGAGTATATTTTGTGTTGGAGAGGCTTGAGGAGGAAGATTGTTCTGTTTTGTCCACCCTTGAAATGATAGAACTCTAACAGGTCTATCACTCTATTGTCCCAGGTTGATGCTGCTTAAGTACAGACCCTTGAATACTGAAATGATCGAATAGAAGGGGTACTTTATGAAATCACATGCACAAAAACAGTCTGAAACACTGCCAGAACCCATAGATGCATAGTCTTACAGCATGTCACCCTCCCACTCCCCTTGCTGAAGCAGCTTACTCTGTCTCATTGTTCCCTGTTCTGACGCCTTCGGACTCTAACACATGCTCCTACTTAGCCTTCCATCACAACTGGGCCATGAATACCCACTACTTGTTGTCTCCACCTACTGCTCACGCTCATCCCACTCTTGCTCTCATTCTCCCAAACCAGCATCTGCCGCCAACCTCCATCTCACAGAATAGAGGAAAGAGAACATACTAAGTGCTCATGTTTGCTTTGGGGGCTTCTGGGTTCCAAGAGGTCCATTATTTGATAATTATCTGTTTGTGTGTCTGACACCAATCCAGACTGAGCTCGGTCTTAGCATCCAAAACATAACAGACAATTCTTCCAACACATGTACACAGAATGCTTAGGTGCTTTCCATACATTATATCATCTGGCATGCCAACAACACTTCAAAGAAGGCATATGTATCCTCATTTCACAGATCACTTGTTTAAAGACAGTTAAGACACAGCATCATGCTACTACCCAGACTGGGTTAACTCTAATATTTATTTATTTATCTATTGCCATCCTCTCCCACACCCTCAGACTCCGTGGTTGAAACAGGGAATTGGGTTTTTCAAGCCACCGGTGTCATTTCTAGAACATTAATTCTCCACTTTCTTTCTGATTCCTGTTGCTTAAAGTCTAGCTAAAAAATTATGCTGTTGTCTTTCATGTTTCCCAGCCCAAAGACACTATGTCAACAATTTAATGATGTATAAAAATGACCCTCCAGATTCCTCAAACTCTGTTTTTCACACTTTTTGCCTTAATAGAAATGCATGTCCATTCCTTTTCTCCTAGTAAAGAACTTTATCTCACTCAATTTCATCGACACAGGAACACTTGCAATTTAAAGATCTCATAATTCCTAGTATCTCTCAAATCACATTGCATCCACTAAAACTATACCTTCCAACATTATTGTTCAGCCATTTCTCTTAAAGCTCTCTTGGCTTCTAAAAGTCAAGTGTCACTTCAATTTTTTATACTTCTTCATTTGTCATGGGATTGAGGACTCTAAATCTACAAGTCAAATAATATTAAACACACCATAGGGGATATATGCAAGAATCTAGCTTTAGTGTGAATACTTACTCTGTAAAGCTTTAATTAATCTGTTTTATGAAGTAGTTTCTTTCAAGTAAGGAACCATAGATGCCCATTTCCCTGGATCTATAATAGCAGGGCACCCCTAGGGGGCGCTCCGTCTCACAAAATATAAGTGACCGGAGCATGACAGACGCAAGGGATCATTTCAGGGGTGTGGGCTCACAGAAGAACCTCAGCCCACAAGAAAGAGTTTGCGTTAGAAAACCTACTTAGGTTCAGAGCTTTTGAACAATGTCTGCTATGATTATAATAAGCCAGTCCTGGGTATCCAGAGTTGGCAAAGCAAGAGCGGGAAGAGGTGAGCAACAGGCACTGGACAGATTGCTTTTCTCCTTGGCTGTCCCTCGGCTGACTCAGCAAAAGTAGATGGAGTTTGCAGAACTGCCCTACAGAATTGTCCTTGTGGCGGTGTGTATAGCATTAGGTTGAGTTGAATTGTGGACAAAGCCTGATGTGTATCTTTTAATCCCTTTCCGCAAAGCAAAATTACCTGCTACTATCCACTTATTATAGGAGCAAAAAGTTATCAGGCAACTAGCCTTTGAAAGACTTAGCCATTAGCCCAGGAAAGGAGCAGTAAGTGATAGGAGTTAGGTACCAAAGTAGAAAGATGACTTCAGTTATCCTGGTACATACTCAGGCTTTCAAGTTCTGCGGTCCAGACAATACCTAGGACCCTTTTATCCCCCATAAGGGTGACCACAATTCCCTCGAGTAAAGATCCTTCCAATTCACGCCCGGAGTTTGCTTTCCTCTCATCCTCGACCTTTGTCATCATCTGACGAAGGGCTATTTGTTTTTCCAATGCAGTACTAAGGAAAAGAGATGACACCGGGCGCCAAAGATCAAATGTGTATTTAAAATTCTGCAGCTCCGGGGAGGCAGGCACATTTCCAGGGCAGTGAGAGGCGCGGTTCCCAGGCTGGGGAAGCCCACCATTTCTCTGCGGGGGAGCTGACCGCGCGAGGCCGTAGCCCCGCCCCGCCCCGCCGGCGCGTGCGGCCGCGGTCCCGGGGCCCAGCTCCGGGCCGGGAGAGCCACGGCGCGCGGGGGGCGGCGTGCCTGCGGCTGGGCGTCCGCGCGGGGGAGATGAATTGGAGTCACACGACTGGCTGTTTCCTTCCGAGGGCTTTTGGTCAGCAGTCCATTAGGGGATCGTGACAACTTTTTTTTCTGGCTAAAAGGATGAAAACTGAGTAAGTACATAGAACTTTGAACTTGACGCGGAATGAAACCAGTACAAGCAGAACCTTAACAGTCACCACGTCCATTCACACCGGGCATTCCCTTTTCGTGCTAGAAGCCGTGAACGCTTACGGGACAGCGGCAGTTTAAAACTGGAGGAAGGGAAGCAGCGAAGAAACACGAAAGGCTGAAAGCAGGACTGCTCTAAACCCGGAGGAGAAATGAACCGCAGAGGCGAGCTGGCCTGCATCCCGCGGGGCAACAGGCACTTTTGGTTTTAGCCTATTGCGCTCTTCAGTGCTGTTTCCAGGCTCCAGATTGACTTTGGGGTTGTTTTCTTTTTTTCCTGTGAAGTCTTTGCTGTGAGTTTAAGGATGTTGTGGAAATAAGGCATTACCGGAAGCAACAGTCTGGCAGCCTGGGGTACGCTCAGGTTATTAGTTACAACTATTATTATTTGGATGTCTTTTTTTTTTTTTTTTTTTTAACCCAGGCTGGCCACTCTTCACTGTCATCCATGGAAGGGATCTTATTAACCGCCTCTGACTTTTGGGACCTATGATTCTTTGGCATGAACCCTTCGGAAAGTTCTTCAGCGGGGATGGAGCGATCTTGATTTCAGTTTTGGATAAAGAAGGCTGATCTGTATTTTTCATGCTGACAAAAAATAGCTGCTATGACTTTTTCGACAACGTGGACAGGGGCCAAGTGAAGCTGAACTGGTCATGGTCTGTCGTCCAGTGTTCCCTTGTCGTCGGCGACTTTGTCCCCGGCCCTTCTTGGTGGGCTTGGTGGTGGCAATCTGTCTCTTCTACCAGACCCTGACACTCCGAGGGTCGAGGAAGCTCACAGCCGCTGTCCCTGGGGCTGACCCGAACACACCCCCCGAAACCCAGGCAAGCAGATGCGAGAAGGGATTCTCCCCCGACAAACCGTGCTTCCTTCCCTCCGGTAATGCACAGGAAATCGGAAAGGTAAGATGGTCACGAGCTTAACCTTGACATTTTCTGTAAAGATAGCAGTGTGCCTCTCTCTGTCCTTTCTGTAAAACTAAAATTAACCTCCATGAGATCTGAAAGGGATCCAGAGTATACAACGGCCCAGAGAGTGACCTTATGACAGTGAGACACGTGTTAGCTTCAGCTTCTTATATTTACTTCCAGAAAGTCCTGGCCTTTATCTCCTCTCTTAGAGTTTCACTTCTTTTCAGCTGAATGAAATAGACAATTTGGAGTTGGTGGGAGTGATGTGAATTCTTTCTAAAGTATTAGAATTCTGAGAGATCTGAAGATTTCCAGTTCAGGGACGTAAACCAAAGATTCATAAAATTTGATCAACATTGAGTGTTTCCTCAAGGTAGTCAGCATGAGTGCCCAGACCATTCCAGACTCAAAGATATTCCAGAATGCAATTTTATAATTGGTTAAATCGATTTTTCATTGGTGAAGATATTTCTAAAGCAACGTATTTATTTCTGAACCATTTAAAGGAATAGTATAATATGGTCCCTCAAAAGAATTGATACCCTGCATTTTATTGTTTATAGAATTTGGGAAATATTGATTATTCTATACTTACAATTATTAATATTACTATACTATTATGATTATTACTATTCTAATTAACTTTACTAATTTTGTGAAGTGTTGGAAAAAACACAAAACACACAAAAAACTCCACAGGATTTCTATTTTAATATACCACTGTGTTCATGCCTATCAATGAGATGATGACCTTTAAAATAATCCAGGCTGAAAAAGAAAAAGGAAAAGGAAAAACACACATGAAAAAATTCATGGCAGCAAAGCCACTGACTTCTGTGCTCCAGCAAGAGGTATAGTAAGATAATTTAGGAAGCTGTAAGTACTATCTTATATATGCAGTAAATTTAGGTAGATCCTAGGATTGTGGTTATTGTTTAGAGCAGAATTTCCTGTTGAAATTCTAACGCCTCCAGCACTACTACCATCTTGTTTCAAGAACTCCTTTATGTATTTCCTTTAGACTCATAAGGCTGTGAGATAGGTAAGGTGGGCATGCTTGCCATCAATGCACAGGAAACATGGCGCTGCTCAGAGGTGTGTAGGCACACCACAGGGCTAGCAGGATGACCTGATACACCCACCTGGGTCCTACCACAGCACTGGTGCTGAAATCAAAGTAAGTTCAAGGCTCTGATAACAACTGGTGAAACCACAACTGTAAGAACTTATTGAAATACAATACAATAGGTTAGAACAAAAAAAATTAAAACCTTGTGAGTGACTTAGTTTATCAACAATGTCAAGAAACATGACAAAGAATAGCAGATAATATAACTAGAAACACTTCCAGATGAAACTCCAACTGCAAGTGCGAGTCAGTGATTGAATGTTCTAACATCACTGAAGGATCTGTATTTTTTCTTCATTTGTACTAGCATTAATTTTTATTTGCATTTTTAATACATCAAATTTCTAATGGGTATAAACTGTGACTTGGAAAGTCACTTCTTTTTTTTTCCCCAATATTAATAAATACAGTTTCTTTAAAAGTAGTTGAAATGGTTTTGCTCTTTTCTTTTTTCTTTCTTTTTTTTTCTTTTTTTGAGGTAGCTTTGCTTTTTAAGTAAGGAGTAAAAATTCGTGCTAAAAATTTTGGACAAAAAGGTTTTTTACTCATTAACTTACAGCTCTTCTTACTCCCTGCTTGACTTTATGTGACTCCTGCTTTTGCCTGTAACACAGGCATATGTTAACTGTTATTTGTAGGCTGTCACAGAAAATTCCATTTCAGCTTTGGATCTCCTGCTACTTGTAAACCATCTGAAACTTATTGGCTGCTTGTGTAAAACATTCACTCTAGAATTTTCTTCACCCCCCCCAAAAAAATGCCAATCACATGATTTTTCCCCCAAATCATTCCCAATCTTAATATTTTAATCATAAACAAGATTCTAAATTCACAATTATAATTCAAAAGCCCATGGATATAAAAAGTCAATTTCCAAACATTTGCCATGTATCTCTATTTTTAACTAATTTGTGTCAGCCATTGGTTTAGAGCCAGTTTTTATTAGAGATAGAAAGGAAACTAGAAAGAATCATGTGGAAGGTAGTTAAAACCAGATATAACTTAGTTCTCCTTGTAATACATGTTCCAAAAAAAAAGAAATAATAATACAGTTTTAAGGATTAAATATACTGTAAGATAGTTAAAGTGAAAAAACAAATGTCTTTGGGATCAATATATATGGATCATTCTCAAAATGAGCTACCTTATGAAGTTCATTAAAAAAATTACTGATGAAGAAGATAGCAGGAGGTGAAGAATGAAGGGGGGAAATCAGAGGGGGAGATGAGCCATGAGAGACTATGGACTCTGAAAAACAAACTGAGGGTTCTAGAGGGGAGGGGGTGGGGGATGGGTTAGCCTGGTGATGGATATTAAAGAGGGCACATTCTGCGTGGAGCACTGGGTGTTATATGCAAACAATGAATCATGGAACACTACATCAAAAACTAATGGTGTAATGTATGGTGATTAACATAACATAATAAAAAAAATCACTGATGAGATGCTTGTGTAGATTTTCCTCAAGACCTAAAATTAGCTTTTATAGAAGAAGCATTATTTCTGTCTAGAAATTTTAGGTTTTGGTATTACTTTTATTTACAAACCAAAATGTTCATTTTTCTAGGGCTTTCCCTTACTGATATCCATCCATTTTAAAGTGATTTTTAAAGTTACTTAAAATAACTGATTTTGACCTAAGGTTCATGGACTCCAGGAAGTATTTGGATTTATAAGATGACTACCAAACGCAGACATTTCACACAAAATAATGTGTATATGTGTGTGCACATTTGTCTGGGAAAAATCCTGATCCCCTGAAGATATTCAGACCTAAGAACAAACAAAATGCTTAAAAAGCAATGCATTTAAACTTTAATTGCTCCTCCAGGAAGTATAAGTTGGGCTTGGATTTATAAAACTGTAAAAGGAAAACAAAATCTTAATGAAAGAATCCATGTGATGACATTTGGAAAAGAGTTTCGATGAATGCTGTAGGGATAAACATTCAGAAACTAAAATACACTCACAGAGTCTTTCTTGAATCATAGTTTTCATACTTTCGTGAATGAGCAGTAACTATTCCCCAGTCTCTTTGGTTGTGGTTCTTTCCAAGAGAAGACCTTTTGTACTTCATCAGCCTAGCAACAGAGGGTTCTGTAGTAGCAGATATTTAAAGGTGGGTGACTGACTATGCCCTTAACACCTTTACAGCTGGGACTTGGTTCATTGTCTAAAACTGTTTTCAATACAGATTGAGATCATGGTCTAGTATATGCCAACTTTCCATAGTGAGGGAGTATTCTCCCTCTTCTGGCCAAATTTTAATTCTTTTTTCCGTTTGAACTTTCCAAAGGACCTTGCTAAGCAGCTGTACTTTTGTCATTTCTTCCGGGTTTTCTCCCAACTTTAGTTGTTTGAATTTTGGCTACTAATCTGCCATGTCTTAAAATCATTTCAATTTAATGTGTAAGCTGAAGACAATTCCATTTGTCTTCACTGAAGTAGATCACTCAGTAGATTTATTTGTTTTTCTGGAATCTAACACTTTAACATTTCACAACATAGGAACCGCATTAAATGATAAACAGACACAATGGAAGAAAATATGCTTAATATACATCTTTAGTATATGTTCCTTTAATGGAAACTTTACTATTTGGAGAATACATTTATACTCACCGTAGCCATGTGTTACTGATTATCTCCTGTTGATACTCCGCAAGGAGAATTAGTAGTTCTTTGTTGCTTGACTATTCATTCTCCATTTCTTCTGGACTCTCCATTCTCCTTAAGTGACTACTCTCTACAACTGTTCTTCCCGGTATACAATAATCCAATGCAAATAATTGAATGTTTTCATACAAATATGCTCTATTTAACGTAGTTTGTGTCTCCAATAATGCATAATATATTTAACATTTGAAAATTTCTAAAAATTGCTTGTTAAGCCCAGGTTTTCTATAGACAGAACCTGGGGCAAGCACTTACATGCTAACACTTCATTAGATGCTGCAATCTCAGGGATGCAAGAGTGGGGGGGGAAAGGAACAAGGAGAGCAAAGACAAATGGGTGCATTTATGAGAGACATAACCAGAGAGGCTGTATTAAATTCTGCATCTCAGAACAAGCATTGTGGGGAAGGGGCAGGAGGGACAAGCAATTTATCTCTTGGCTTTTCCTTTCTTCTGTCTTCCATTGGTTAGAGTTGTCCGGTGCTACTTCCACGTAGTGTTACCTGGACTCTCAGGGTGGCCACTAGGCAAGCCAGGGCCTCAGTGGGTGCAGTCCTGTCAGGGCAAAGGTGGTTCCCCCTTCTCAATCAGTATGGTGCATAGGAACTTCCAGGTCTGTGATGGCCATGGTGGTAAAAATTGTGTCCATGGCTTACCACAACCATGCTGCAAGTAATGTCCACCAGAGGGGTATGTGATACAGTAGTTATGCTAATGTTGCTTTCTAAAAGCCACAGAAAATGTCAAAAATGTGCTCTTACTCTTGGGAAATGGCATCACTCTCTTTAAGTGAAATGTTTGTAATTATCTCACTGAGAGTTCTCCAAATAAAAAAAAAATTCTCACTTCATCTTTACCCTTTGTCTTCCTAATTCAGTTCATTCTTTCATTTTCTTCATTCCTTCAGTGACTATCTGGTGAGCAGTTTGTGCCAGACACTGTATGAGGCACGGGTGGCACAGAAATAAAAGGCATTGTGAGACAGATCAGTAGTTAAATCAATGCTGGGGAATCCATAACTTTAATAGAGCATTTTGAAAGATGAGCAGGAGTTAGAAAGGGTGGGGAAAGAGAAATGTATTACAAGCAGAAAATGCCACATATGCAAAGAAGAAATTAAATGATAGATTTGGAGGATTCAAGGTAGTGTGTGAGTGTGTATGTGTGTGTGTGTAATGTGTTGGGG